GCCGGGGAGCGAGAGGGTCGGCCGGGCGGGTAGGTTGGGGGCGCCGCGCCCGGAGAGCGGGCCCAGGAGGCGAGAGGCGGCCTGGCGCGGGTTGCACCGGCTCCCGGGGCACACGGGGTAGACCTTCCCGCCTGGCTCGCCCTGGCCGCCGCCGCCGCAGGTACTGGCCGGGGAATGACAACAAGTACGCGCACATCCCGACGGAGGAGCGCCGCGCGACGAGCGCCGGCCGCGCCGGCCGCACCCTCCGCCCCTCACCCCGGTGCGGCCTCGCCCGCCCTGCAGGAGATACCGCTCTCCGAGTGCCTCAAGGACACGGTCGAGCGGTGCCTGCCGTACTGGGAGAGCGACATCACGCCGGCCCTCAAGCGCGGCAAGACGGTGCTGGTGGCGGCGCACGGCAACTCGATCCGCGGCATCCTCAAGTACCTCGACGGCATCTCGGACGACGAGATCACCAGCCTCGAGGTGCCGCTCCAGCCGCTGTGCGGCCGCACCGAGCCGCGAGCCGCGTCTGTCACGCGGCTGCGTTGAGAGCAGGTGCCCACCGGCATCCCGCTCGTCTATGAGCTCGACGCGGACCTCAAGCCGCTCCAGATGAGCGGCGCCGTCGCGCCCCTCTCGGGCCGCTTCCTCGCCGACCCAGAGGCGCTGAAGAAGGCGCAGGAGGAGGTTGCAAACCAGTCCAAGCTGCGCTACGGCGTGAAGTGAGGCGCCGCTTCGCCCAAAGGGAAGCCAGCCGCGCAATGCGCCGCCTTCGCCGCCCCGACAGCGCCAGCCCGGTCCAGCTGCGTTTTCTTTTCGCTTCGAGCGCCCTAGTGAAAGAATGCCGGTCGCGGCGGTTATATCACGGAAAAAAAGAATTTTTCGCCCGGCGCCTCTCCTTGTGGCGACACCCGCATCAGAGCTCAACAGCAGACTCGCCCACGTCCCAGCAGACTCGCCCGCTCTTGAACATTACCATGCTCGCCACTATCGGCTACGGCGTCGCCTCCTTCGTCATAGCCTTCGTCCTCGCCGCCCTGCTGGGCTCTGACGGCGGCGCGCTCTCGAAGGAATTTCCTTGGCAGTTTCGACTGGCCGCGGCGTGCCGCACGCCGGTCCTCATGCTGATCGTCGTGCCTCTCTCCTTTATCCGGGGCAAGTACACGCTGGCGAGGCGGCGGCTTCGCCGCTACCTGCGCGGGCCGGGCGGCAAGGCTGCCGCCATTCGCCATGCTGCTCACGTCGACTCGATTTCGGAGCAGCTGAGGGCATGGGACCGTGGCGGGAGGAAGCGCAAGCTGCGCACCGCACGGTCGAACTGGGCGGCCATGTCGACCAAGCTGGGCAGCAACAAGGAGGAGTGCAACCAGATCGCGCTCGGCCACATGAACGAGATTCTCGACGTGGACGAGGACGGCTTGACCCTCA